TATAGGCTTCAACACAACCCTAATTCTAATACCAAACCAACCCTAAGTCGGCTACATCCGTGTAAATAAAACCCTAATATAACTATATGTGTGCCTCCATACAATCACGTTAAAAACAATTAAATTTAATTAACTTAATTCAATTAAAACAACTAAATTACATCAATTAAATAATTATCTAATATTAAATCAATTCAATTAAAACAAGTAAATAATTAAAGACCATTAAATCACCACAATGAAAACAATTACAATTAACACAGGATCACGTCAACAATTACTACAAATAGAAACAAAAGGCCAGTTAAAGAAAAAAAAAAAAATAAATAAATAAACAATTAAATAAAAATAAATACAATTTAAACAATTTAATAAATACCAGGACTATCCTTTTGAAATTAGGGCACAAAAATGTACTTAAAGGGCACAAATTTTATTTTACTTTTTGTAATTTTAACATGAATTTTTGTAATTTTAAAAAAATCAATCAAGTGATTAACATGAATTTTTGTAATTTTAAAAAATTTATGTTATATTTTAACACTCTTTGAGAACTATCTTCAGAGAAATTAAATAAACAGACCTTTCTTTAAATAAAAAAATAACTCAAGTAAACGTACATAAAATTGACCGTTTTAATTATGATTAGTCTTTTGTAGCTGTATGAAACATTATACTAGCCTCCATCCATATCTTGTTTTTCTAGAAACACCAAGGTAGAATGGAAATTATTAGAAGAAAGAAGTTCTAATTTTATATAGGGACTGCAAAATTATGCTACGTTGTTTATTTAATAATCCAATGTATTATGGCAAAACGAAATACAATTCAATATAGAATATAGAAATTACTTATTTTACCTATCCAGTTCCATTCATTTTATTTTATTTATTCTAACAAATAACTTTTACATTGTTCTTGGAAACACTTGAAACCTCATTCTTTCACTTTGAACTCTTAAATATATATATATTTACTGGTTAGTACTCATACGCACATGTCTCTTTGGGACTTGAACCCCGAATCTCCATTTGGGAAGTAAGAGACTAATACCGCTAGGTCACTCGCCCCTTGGTTCTATGGCTTAATATTAAAACATAGTGATAATTTCCCATAAGACTTCATTTCAATGTGGGCTAATGTAACAAAGGGTCATTTGACTCATTTGTCCCACATTGGATCCGAATGGGAAAATGATTGAGTATAAATGGGCGGGTATGAACATTATCCAATGGTTTGAGCTTTAGTGTAAATGGGTAAGCGCCTACCTATTACAATTGATATCAGAGCCAAACCCAATTCTTAATTCAGTATCACACCAAGCGCTCGGCTCAGATGGCGTCTGGGTTTGCCGCTGGTAAGTAAGGTGGCCTGAGACGCAACGAGGGCTTTTGCAAGTTTAGGTGAGGGAGAATATAATAAGGGTCATTTGTCTCAAATCGAATCCGAATGAAAAAGTAATTGGGTATAAATTGGTGGGTAAACAGTACTACCCAACAGTTTATACTTTTAAGTAAATGGGTAAGCGGTCGGATTATCGAAAGTAAGTCCAGCCCGACCTTCTTTAAGATATCTAGACAGCATTACCAAACCAAAGTTTTCACCTGCCATAGTTATTGTGTGTGTGTGTGTGTGTGTGTGAGAGAGAGAGAGAGAGAGAGAGAGAGAGAGTACCATGAATTTTTATGGCTTGTGTGGTGAACAAAGTAACTGAAAAATGGTGATTTATTGGAATTATGGTTCTCTTATTATTATTATTATTTCAATTATGTATTTATCTTGGGAAAATTATATATAAATGGAGTCAAAGTTCCATATTTACTTAGAGGCTGAGTCAAAGTTCCATATTTCTCTAAAACGGATTGCTGAGTTGGCACATGGTTTTTTACTGTTTAGAAATTGTGGTGCCTAAAATGCCCTTCCGCGAAGGTGCTACTTTTACTTCGAAGGTATTACTTTTTTGAACTGAAGGTACTACTTTTTGGCGTCCAGGTACCATGTTTTTTAAACACCAGCGAAGGTACTACTTTTTCTCCGAAGGTACTACTTTTTTGAACTGAAGGTACTACTTTTTTGAACTGAAAGTACTACTTTTTTGTTAGGGAAGGGCATTTTAGGCACCACAATTTTCTAAACAGTAAAAAACCATATGCCACCTCAGCAATTCATTTTAGAGAAATATGAAACTTTGACTCAGTCTTTAAGTAAATATGGAATTTTGACTCTATTTATATGTAATTTTTTCATTTATCTTCTTGATAAAAAGTGTCTTTACTATAATTGACAGCGTTATCAATTGAGTATTTTTTTTAATTTATTTTGGTACCATTTCTGATCATATAGGGTTGCAGAATATTTGGTATTGTAAGGATTTATTCATTTCTTCTTTTGATTTAGGTGGGCTGAAGGGAAAAATTATGGAAATGGTGGTCCGTAAAGACAGGCTTATGGTACTGAGCTGGAATTATGAGTACGGGTAACCTATAATCAGCAGAACACTATAAAATTGTGTCAGACTTTAAGAAATTTAATTGGGTTCATGGTTTGCTAGCTCTGATGTGAGACCAAATAGTTTTTGGATTGAAAAGTGTTTTTTCTGAATGCTAAAATTGTGGAAGATGACGATTTTTCCTAGTAAAATATTGTGCAGCCTATGTCAGTGGTGCTTGCGGACTGAATAATCCAACAAGCTCCTTGACCATTGGTTCTGGCCAACCTCCATGTGTCGTGCACACATTTTCCGTGCTTTAACTAGTGGTCACACGGTAATTTGGTTCTGAAATCATGTAATAATTTCTCCTTCTTAAACAATTGAAATTTGACAGATTTATTGGTTCTTGTGCATTGTCGTGATCGCATTGCTCGAGTTTGCGACATGCAAGGATACGCACTCTTTTATCCCATTGCTCAATTTGCTCGGGCAGGGTGGGAAATGACATACTACTTTGTTGAGGATTTGGAAAATGTTGCTGCTGATGGACAAGCAAATTCAAATGCTGTCGAAGCACTTCGGTCTTAAGAATGAGATAGATTAGGGTTGGTTATCGTGTTGGGGGTCTCCAATCTATTATTATTTTGCTAAATAGGTCAATTCAAATACGATCTATTTTATAATTGTGTACAAAATCATCAACATGAGTATGACTTGTGTATCACTTGGCACGGACTCATAATTTATTTCAGCGGGGGCGACTTTAAACAATGATAAGGTAGAAAATTAATTAATTAATTAAGTCATCGAGGTTTATAACTGGTATCTCGTGTACCTCATTCGAATAGAGGTTCTGAGTTCACCTTTCAATAAGGGTAAAATGCGTGTGTGCGCTTTTTGTAGGTAAAAAAAAAAAAAAAACTAATCTTTAAGGGAAAAAAAAAAAAAAAAACACTAGTAAGATGAATTGCAATGTCCCAAGCAAATAATCTAATAGATTTAATCTGTCTTCTTCGTTTCAATCATCAAATTAATTAGGACCTTTCATACCGTCTTAGGATTTAAACTTTTTTCATGAAGAGAGTGATCGCTAACTAAAGTCGTTTATTTATTTACTCAAAGAGAGAGCTGGCAAGATGGATACTAGAGATAAAGGAATTCTTGGCTAGTGCATGGGCGTGAGTGAGAAGGAAAAATTAGGGGCAAAAGATTAAAATTATGGAGACGTTTATGAAATTATCTAACATTTTATATAATAAAATAAAACAACCCTGATCCAATATATATATATATATATATATATAGTTTCATAAAAAATAAAATAGATAATTTGTACTAGAATTTTATAGAAATTATTTTATTTTATTTTTAAATATATTCTTGTCTAATTAGATTTTCTTTTATTAAAAAAACTCATAATAAATAGATAAATAGTGATGGAGTTTTATAAAAAATAAAATAAGTAATTTGATCCTTATTTCTTTTATTAAAAAACTTATAGTAAATAGATAAATAGGTAGTTTGTTTTAGAGTTTTATATAAACTTTATTTATATTAGAGAAAAAATATGCACACCACAACCTTGATCCAATATATATATAGGTTATATATGCTAGAGTTTTATAGAAAATAAAATAGGTAATTTGTGGTATAATTTTATAGAAATTATTTTATTTTTTTTAAATATATCTCTATCTAATTAGATTTTATTTTATTAAAAAAATTATAATAAATAGACGAATAGGTAATTTGTATTAGAGTTTTATAAAAACTCTTTTAAAAAACTCTTTTTATATCAATTAATAAATATTTTTTTTATGTTAATAAATAAATACTGAAATACTGAATCTCTTTACACTTTTAATAATAATAAAATATAGTATAGATATAGATATAAATATATATATTTGTTACAAATTTTACTTTTCCTTTTTTATTGGCAAAACCAAGTATACTATGATGGGTTCTTGTCTTACGTTGAATGGGATGAAAATAATGTTGGACGTATAAAGTTGAGTGTTAGCACTTTTTAATAATTTAAACTTTTTGGTTAGATCACGAATCTAATTCATGACAAATGCAACATACTTTTCTCATCTTGGAATTATATTTTTCAAAAATATATACACATACATACTAAGATTAATACGGAGTATTATATAGAAAATTGTTTATAATTTTTAAAAAAATTATAATTACATAATACCAGTTGAGTCCCTCCAAATCATAATTCCTGTTCCGCCTTGGACTCATTCCTGTATTTATATATAATGCTAATAATTCTATTATTTTGTTAAACTTTTTTTATTTTATTAAAATTTTAAAAATCATTTTCAAGAATGACAGCTCAGGTCTTCAAGCTAGTGTGACAATATTCAAATATCCATAGTTTGCCAGAAAAAAAAAAAAAAATAACAAAATAAAATTTTGTTTTAATAGCTTAGTTGGATAAAAACTTATATGGTCGTCAATTGATAAAAACTAATAAAAAATATAAAAATAAATATAAATATTTTTTTTGGAGTCAATGCCATTACACAAAATATATACGATTAGATTGGTATCCACAGGAAGGAGAGTATTACGCCTGTAGCCAAACGTGCCAAATAGGTTTCCCCTAAGCGGTTAGAAAACCCTACTAGGAATAGAATATTGCGAAAGGAGAGGCACTTGTGGATTTCTTGTAAGAAAATCCAGTTCCTGTTCTCACCTCTGTTGTCGATTAGGGCTTTTAGTTAAGGAAACTCAGTCTCTGATAGCATCAATTTGACTAGGGTTTTTGATTTGTGTTTGTGTGTTCCTTTTCCTTCTTACATTATATATATATATATATATATATATATATATATATTTATTTATTTATTTATTTATTTTTTATTATTCATGATTTTCAATGAGAAGACCCCAATTTTATTCCGTTATATGTCATACAATTTAGGTATTATTATAGTGAATAATTTAATATTTGGATGCTTTTTTCTTGGTCTGAAAATCTATTTTTATGGAATGATTGCTTACAGAGTGCCAACAAGATGTGTGGAGCTGCAGCTTCAACGACTTCTGGTCCCGGTAAGTTTCCATTGAAGCTTGTGTCTTTGTTGTGCCTCATATTTTATCAAATTCAGTTTAAAAATGGTTTCACACGCTTTATTGCCCTTTTGTACCTCAACAGTTGCTAAGGGGTTGATTATTGCGGCTGGATATATTATTGGTAGACAACTTAGTGAACGGTATGTTTTACTCTGTTGCTCTATGCGCTACGGTTTCTGCTTTCGAAGTTTGTTTATGTGGATGTTATTTAATTTTAGCTCTTTCAAATATTCACCTATATTTTTCTGTGCATTTTTTCCTTTTGATTTACAGCTTGTTAAGTACATTAGTATTGTTAAACTTTGTTTTATGATCCTTATTGAGATCCCGTGAAGGCTGAATAAGTGTTTGTTCTTCCCACCTCCCCTGCCCCGACTTCTTTAGTGATGCTGATGCACAGGGGCGGAGCCAGGATTTAAATTCAGAGGTGGCACAGTGAATTTCTTTTTTTTTTTTTTGAAGAAATTTAAGAAATAGAAGGAAAAACACAAATAAGAAAAAGGGAAAGAAAAATGATAGGACTTTGAAAGAAATTAATTAAGCATGAATGAATAGGGAAAATTTGACCTTTTTTTTAAAAGGAAATTAAAGAAAATTAAAGAGTAAATGAGAAAAAAGGGCAAAATTTAAGAGAATTTTGGAAATTTAGGGGGGGGGGGGGGGGCATAATATACAAATGTCTATACTTATATAAAAAAAAATATATATATATATATATATACAAATGTCTATATATATGTACAAAAAATTATATATATAATATAGGGTGGGGCCAGGCCAGGGGGGGCACTAGGCATATACTGACTCCGCCACTGCTGATGCATGTTTGTGTTTGAGCAGCATGATGATTGTTTTGATTGAAAACTGTTCCTCATTAATAATGTCTGAGAAATTGCTCATGCAATTGGGGATTTTCATTTTGCTTAACCAGTTGTGAAATCTTTTACTCTAGGTAGTTTACTTTAGATTTGTGATCCTATTGCTTTTGAGCATCATTGCATTGATAGTGGGTTAATTTATTAAACTAAAACATTTATGTTGGAATTCTCACCATATTTATAGTTTATTAGACTAAGCATCATTGCATTGATAGTGGGTTCATTTAATGCCTTGATGTTCAATATTTAAGTACATCTATAAGTACACAAATGGTACATTTGGTGTCCTCATGAGATGTTTATGCTTTTGGATTTGCGTGTAAAATTTAATCTTATGTTTTTTTGACTTTCTGCTATTAGGACACTATTAATTTCTATATTGACATATCTAAGCATTGATTTTGAACAATATAATATGTGGTACAATGTGTCTCATGTCCTTACATTGTTTTCATAACAGGTTGCTTAAACTTCATAAAAGTATCAAACAGAGGTCCGTTTTGTTTTGGAACTTGACTTACACTTCTCTTTGTTTTTCCTTCTATTTTGGTCCTTGATGATACGAGAATGTAATTTAAGTTTTATGTGTCTTTTTTGTATGATAGTTTGAAATTTGATCATCATTTTAATATTTTGAATCCATCATATGTGTATGTGCTTACTGGACCATTTTGTTTCATGTCTGCCCCCAAGTTTCCACATGTCACTATGCCAATTAGCTTGGTGGCATTCTCTAGAAGTATGATTTCCATGCCCAGTTGGAACTTGGATGCATCTTCATGAAACAAAGCTGTGATACGTGTTGCTTCTCCATGGTGCTACATTGTTATTCGTTCCATTGTTCTCATCGCACAATCTTTTGAGACGAGAGATTTATCTCTTTATTTGGTTTAACTATGCACTCTCTAATCACATAGTGCTCTATGAATTAAAATAGTGAACTTTGTTGCATTTCCATTTATTTTCCAACGCTTATTAGTGCTGGGGTCCTCACAACAAATTCTTCAACTCTGCCTGCCTAATCTCGTTATGTAGTTTGATTGTTCACTCTCTAAACACATAGACTTTTGCTGCCTCCTACTAAAAAGCTGTCAATCCATAGAATCTTCTCCAACACTACTGTCGTTCACCGCCACTCGGAGCATAGGTGATCCAAGGAAAGACTTCCTAGGGGGGACTACCATCCTTCAAAAATAGCTCCTTTAATCTCCTGTGATAAAAAATTTCGAGTATCCAACCCGTCCATCTCCTCAACGATGGACGTTCACAGTCTCACAATTGACCATTGCCAAAAGAATCTCCATCATCAACCTCCCAATCCTGAAAAGGTTTATAGAAGCATACATCCCATGCAACCTACCGCTATCAAGCTGATAGCTATTTGGGAATCAATTACGATCCTGAATAGCCTCGGGAACGCTTGGTCTGTCCCATCACTAGATATCCAGCTACAATCAAAGCCGCATCCCACTCCTTAGCTTGAATTGAATATTCTTTGGAAATCTATCCCGGCCTTTTTGGATGAATTTCCAACTACCCACGCTAACAGGACCCCTCTCCTCTAAGGAGTACCATTTGCACCTAAAATCACCATATTTGCACAACATTACCATTCGTCCAAAGTTGTGCCTCTTTACACGTCTTCAAAGCCACTTTCCTACGAACGCTTTGTTGAAGACATCCAACCTCCCAACACCTAAGCCACCAAGCTGAATAGGCCTACATACCAGCTCCCAATTCACAAGGGGTACTTAAACTCATCATCCATACCCCCAAACCCAAACAAGAAATTCTGTTGTAGACTCTTAATCCTCTTCACCACCGAAGTGGGCCTGTGAAACAAAAACATGAAGTTAGTTGGGAGTCTGAAGAAAGTACTCTTCAAAAGGGTAAGCCTTCCCCCCTTGTTGGCATCCCCCAAAGGCAACTCAAGGTAAAGTAAATTGGACAGGACTCCCAAAATATCCACGAAAGACGCTATAAGCCTATAACCCCAATCCCAGCCGTCGACCCAATCTCGCACCTCTGGAGGTTGACTTTCAAGCCAAATACTGACATACTGCCTAAAAGCATACCAAAACACATCTCAAATATCTCTCAAAACACAATAGTGTCATCCACAAACAAAGGATGAGAGCAATAAAAAAGAAAAGAAAAGAGGATTACCGGAGTGCAGAACATGTTTTGCAGAAGTAAATAATTGAACTATTGGACGAATTAAAAATTAATAAAAGTATCTCGAATAGATGACTAAAGTTGCATTTGAACCGAGTTTTGAGAATTAGTAATTCCTTTCAATATTGTTGAGTTTTGTGCTAATATATTCTATAATTCTACCACAATTAGGCTAATTGATTTGTTAAAGAAATTCTAATAGTTGATTCATTAATGTAATATATTATTTAGTTTTACAACAATTAGTCTAACTTATGTGCTGAAGGAATCATAATTAGGCTAGTTGATTTGTTGAAGGAATGATATTTATTAAGATGATATATTATTTAGTTTGACTACAATTGGGTTAGCTTATTTGTTATGGGAATCGTGTTATTTAGTTCGAGCACAATTAGGCAATTAGGCTAGTGGATCTGTTGAAGGAATGGTTTTAAGATTATTTAGTTCGGCCTCAATTGAGCTAGTTGATTGGTTGAAGGAATGATATTAATTAAGGTAATATAAGAATGGTATTCATTAAGATAATATATTATTTCTCTAGACACAATCTGGCTAGTTGATCTGTTGAAAGAATAATATTCACTTACCATTTGACCACAATTAGGCTAGTTGATTAGTTGAAGTAATGGTATTAAAATTATTTAGTTCAACCACAATTACGCTAGTTGATTGGTTGAATGAATGATATTCATTAAGGTAATATATTTTTTAGTTCAACCACATGGCTAGTTGATGTGTTGAAAGAATCGTATACATTAAGGTAATATATTATTTAGTTCGACCACAATTGGGCTAGTTGATTGGTTAGTGGGATGGTATTCATCAAGATAATATTTTATTTAGTTTAAGCACAATTAGGGCTAGTTGATTGGTTGAAGGAATGGTATTCGTTAACGTAATATATTATTTAGTTCAACCACAATTAGGGTAGTTGATTAGTTGAAGGAATGGTATAAATAATATATTATTTAGTTCGACCACAATTATGGTAGTTGATTGGTTCAAGGAATGGTCTAATATACTGTATTATTTAGTTCGACCACAATTAGGCTATTTGATTGGTTGAAGGAATGGTATTCATTAAGGTAATATATTATTTAGTCTTACCACAATTAGGCGTATTAATATTATTTAGTGGATCACAATTGGGCCAGTTGATTGGTTGAAGGAATGATATTCATTAAGGTTATATATTATCTAGTCCGACCACAATTAGGTGTATTAATATTATTTAGTGGATCACAATTGGGCTAGTTGATTGGCTGAAGGAATGGTATTCAATAAGGTATTATATTATTTAGTCCGACCACAATTAGGCGTATTAATATTATTTAGTGGATCACAATTAGGCTAGTTGATTTCAACCACAATTAGGCTTAGTTTATTGCATCTGGTTGAAGGAATAATATCCATTGAGGTAATATATTATTTAGTTCGACCACAATTACGCGTATTAGTATTATTTAGTGGGTCACAATTAGGCTAGTTGATCTTTTGAAAGAATCGTATTGCTTAAGGTAATATATTATTTAGTTCGTCCACAATTAGGTGAGCTTATTTGTTGAAGGAATGACACACATTTAAGTTCGACTACAATGAGGTGTGAAACGCCTGCGCCTTGCGCTCATCGCCTTGGCAAGAAAGGCGCACGTCTTATTCGCCTCGCCTCGGGCTATCCCAAGCGCGGCTAATTCGCCTTGAGGGCACCTACTGGGGCGTGCCTTTGTCAACTATGGTCCCAACATAAGAAAAGAGCACCCTCTGGTCCAGGACCTACGCTACGGGTTATGCGTGCTGAGGGCCTCATGTAATATATATATATATATTCATGGTTAAACAGAACACAACCATGGAGGAATTTTATATTAAAAAGGAATAAGTAAACAAACAAATAGATATTTATCAGATGGCACGTGCCATGTGATGATGATGATATGGCAGCAGTCACATTTTTGGGGGATCGCGAGGTTTCAGGGGAATATTTTGTGGGCGGCATGGGCGAATAGATCTAATACCATCTAGTGGGATGGGAGCAAATTTGCAAACCCATTCAGGCGGGTGGGTTGGGAGTGAGAAGATTGGACTTGTTCAACAAAGTTTTGTTGGGCAAGTGCCTGTGGAGTTTTTGGGTAGAGCCACCGACTATGGAGGAAGGTCATTTGCCAAAGATATGATGCGGATAGAGGTGGATAGTGCTTTTTTGTATCAAGGGCCCTGGTGGGAATTGGCTTGTTGAAGAGCATACAGGAGTGTTGGGATAAATTCTCCAAGTATATACGCTTTAGGGTGAGGAATGGATGCCTTGTCAGCTTTTGGGATGACCCATAGTCCGGTAAGAGGTCACTTGTGAGTCTTTTGTGAGACTGGTTGGGATTTCATTGATAGGCAGGTGATGGTCGCAATAGGAGATTTCAAGATTGAAAAGAATCTGTATATTGCCGTACAAAGAATGGTTTACAATGCTTTAGTTAAATAGGAAATACAAGGAGCTAAAAAAGGAAACTACAGGTTGTGACTACAGGCTGTATACTAACAAAATTTCCTAATTCTTAGTCATTGACTATCTATATTTACACGCCTATCATATCCCCTAAAATCTGGTCTTATTGAAACCAAATATCTCTTTTTCAACACTCCCCCTCAAGCTGGCTTGTAGATGTCTTCCATAGCTAGCTTGCTTCTTAAAACTTCAAACTGTCTCTTATGTAGTCCTTTGGTAAGGATGTCTACAGCTTGTTCAGTAGTGGAGACATAAGGAATGCAAATCATACCATAGTCAAGCTTTCCCTTGATAAAGTGTTTGTTCACTTCCACATGTTTGGTTCTGTCATGGAGGACTGGATTATGAGCAATTGAAATGGCAGCCTTGTTGTCACAATAGACTCTCATTAGAGGAGAAACAGTAACCTTCAAATCTTCAAGCTTTTTAACCACATAGCTTCGCAAATCCCATGGGCGAGTGCTCTGAACTTGGCTTCTGCACTATTCCTCGCTACTACATTTTGTTTCTTGCTTCGCCACGTGACTAAGTTTCCTCCAACGAAGGTGCAATATCCTGAGGTAGATCGTCTATCAACTGTACTACCTGCCCAATCAGCATCTGTGTACACGTCCACTTGCAAATGACCTTGTTTCTTGAACATAAGTCCTTTACCTAGTGAGCCCTTTAAGTACCTCAGAATCCTGTACACTGCTTCAAGTGTTCCTGTCCAGGAGAGTGCATGAACTGACTCACCATGCTGACTGCAAATGCTATATCTGGGCGTGTGAGATAAGTAAATTAGTCTTCCCACCAATCTCTGATATCTTTCACGATCA